TTATATTTGATGCTTTAACATATGCATAAAAAACAGTTTAAAAAAGTACAATATAGAAAAAAAATCTTCAGGTGTTAGACTTGCTAAAATGCTAAATCTTTATAATGAGTTCATTGCATCTGATCAAATGGCCATGCAAATACATCAAAAGCTGGGATGTGTATGTGATTGAAATTGGATGACCTCTATGATTTAAATTATGGAATTATTCCAGGCTATTACGAATAACATGTCTCAATGCAGCATAACAAACATATTGCTGGATGTTTTTTTTCTATGAATCCATTGAAACTAATGGAGTTATCTCTGTTTATTAATCATCATTATGATATATGATTGTTTCGTCATGTTATATCCTATAGATTCATTATTATTTAGTCATTCCTGTTACACCCTATACCAAATATGTACTTAAAATATTTATTATGACATTTTCTGGTCCATTCTATTTAATTTCTAGTGTCTGATTTAAATATCTGGTACTGAGTAATTCTAAATAATTTTTTTTTTTTTTTGATCTATAATCTACTATGGGAATGTATAACTTTCCCTCACACGAAAATTTTGTAATAACACTTCAATTAGAAATGATTATCCTCTCTGTTTTTCAATGCGCTGAAAGTGATAACTCATGCTGGGTTGGACTGTGAATTTGGCATGTTTTGATTTAAATGAAGAATATATTTGTTATTTTGTTATTGTACATTAACGTCATAATGCAATGATAAAATCACGCTTATACATTGACATAATAGAAAAAAATGAATGCATTTAGAATAGAAATTAAACAATATTTTTAGTTTAAAAAAATATAACAATGGAAAACTTGACAAATTAATACGAAGTCACGCTATGAAAGTTTATATGATTTTAATAAAAAAATTTTGATGACAATTAATGCGGAAAGCGGCATTGACTAAAATAATTGTCTCCAGATTTGGATGTCAGATTTATGCAATGTTTACATGGTATGTCATAAATTTATTTTCACTGTATGACATTTGCAGTTAATAGAAAATCTTGTCGATTGATTCCAAATGTAAAAGGCAAGTTGTTATTTTCATTTACTTATTGTGATAGACTCGCAGAATTTTTTACTCAATTTGTACTAAATTTTGGTGTAATGTTACAAAAATGTTTAGCATGGTATTGGCAGGAACTAAGTGGAAACAATTCCGTGGAAAAGGTTTACATGATTAGAAAATAGTGAGTTTGTTTAGACCAATTTTTTTATGAACAATCCTATATCAGTGTGTTGTCAAATTCGAAGGAATGTTTATGTTACCTTATTATTTTTCATATGTTTTTTTGATGAAATTCAGAAGACAGAGCTTCTCATACAAATTAACAATAGCATGAATTCTTTATGAATGAAACAAAAAGTTAGTAAAGCTTCATTTGATATCACATTTTTGGATTATACACCAATCAGTTTTGTGTAAAATGTAAAATTTATGTTAAATAAAATGACCAAATACTAGTAATGTTTTGAATATTTGACAATGACTAACGTTATTTTAGATCTATGTTGATTATATAAGCATGCTGTGGTACAAATAAAATACATATGTTCCTGTGTATTTAGGTTTTGAATGGTGCCAAATGATACTTTTATAAAACCGACTTTAAAGTAGCATAATTCTCCACTGGGATTTGTGTTGTTTGTTCAATAAGCTTTCAATAAACCTGTTAGAAATTTAACAGAAGAGCTGAAAATGTGTCTGAAGAAAAAAAAAAATCAAAGAATTATGGCACTTTAGTTTTTGTGATCATTTCTTTATGTGAAGAAAAAATTTGAAAGAAAGAACACTTCACTGAAAAATTTATTCATCTTCTAATGTTGAAAAGTGTCAATTTAATAGTTTATTTAAATGTATACCACCAGTTGTCAAAGCCTACTATCAATTTGTATTCTTTACTTTCCTTGTGAGATATCCCCTATTGATACATGCATTAGCAGTATTATTGACAAATGATTCAGAATCAGTCAATTTCTTTTATTATATTTTAAATAAGATGGGAAAGAAGCGATAATGAATAAATAATCACATATTTGTGTTAAATTGAAAAAAAAATGTTGTGTATATACGAAGGATGAAGGGTGTATTTGATTAAGTATATTGAACAGTTAAACCTACTAAGTAAATGTATTGAGTGTCCTTTCTATTGTCATCAATTATCTTTTGTTAGAAAAGTGTTTTTTCTGAGAAATTGGATATTTTGGGGGTTTACCAAATCATTCATAGATTTCCTTTTGCCACATAATAACTCAAACAGGGGTGACTTTTATTTGAACCCCTTTTCCACATGGCAATAAAAGGATTCAGTCTTGATTTTGGTGGTAAACAAATTTGGATGCAGCTGAGTCTAAACAGTGTCTTCAAATTAAGGTTCAATTATGATCAAATTATCTTTATTTTTCTCTGTTCATGATCTTAATGAAGTTTTGTTACTATTTGTGTATCCTAAAATATTGACAAACGGTATCTTCTTGTATTGAAATGTTTCTCAGGTCATCAGAAAGTTTTCTTCATTTTCTCCTTTGCATTTTGCTTCTATGCTGCACATTCGACCACATTCTTTGCAAATAATAATGATCTCTTTGTTCTATTTTTTTTAGAAAGAACTAGACACGACTGCCACCGATTTAGCCAATCGTCAAGATGAAAGTGACATATCAAGAAAAAGATTGGTAGAACAAAGTAGAGAATTTAAGAAAAACACACCTGAAGTAAGTATTTTATATTTAATATCATAAGTTACAGCTTTAGTTAACAGGGTGATTTGACAGGATTATCTGGTGTTATTACATTATCATCTCATTTTAAAGAGATTTTATCACAACTTGTGTGAAATATTCTATACAATGGGGACAGAAGTAACTAAAGTAGTTCATATTTGATGTTGTAAGTTCTGAAACAGCAGAAAGGAAGAAGTAACCACCCTGGTATACCAAACACGTCTCTTTCAGATCAATTTCAAACATCCTGTTCATATTAAACATAATATTGGTTTTATTTATGATAGGGGAAATTTAACAGAAATATTCAACAGATTACTGTTCGATCACACGATATCTAACAGTTTGTGCTATTATAACATGTCAAACTTGGTAACAACAACAGACTGTTTATAGAGCTATTGTCTCATCTACTTGTAAATTACCCTCCAATACTCTCATTTCATTTGATTCCTTGATTTACATTAATTCTCAGTTGGTGAACAGCGTTTACAGCTTTTTAAAAGAACACAAAGTGTTATAAAACCATATTTATGTTTTAAGAAAGAGATGCGTCAATCTAATGGGTGTGATTGGCACTAAGATTTTGACATGAAAACAGTGTTTCCATTTAGTTTTAAAGCCTATGAAATTCAAAGAGGGAATGTTCAAGTTTTCAATAAATTTTCTAATTATGCGTCTGGTTGAATTTTTTATTTGACGTCTGCGATTAGTTCAAAAACTGAGTGAAATTTACTCAGTGTCGATATTTGACAGTTATAGTGTAGACTGAAGACATTTTATCAGAATTTATAATAGTTCATTACAACATTACTCAATGTCAGTGTCAAAATAATTTTCATTACATTACTTTTTAGAATAATGATTTTCATTTAAAACATAAGGTATAGATGTAATTAAGTTAATAAAGAGCAATATTCATAAATCATTTGATATATCATTTTGACTATCTTCAAGTACAGATTGAAAATCTTATTTCCGCTTGATGATTAAAGACACTATGTGCTATACTGTTAAAGAAGGTTGTTATAATGAGATATTGTCAGATATTGTCAGATATTTGTGTACATTCAACATCATTGAACACAAGGAGCATTATTACTTGGGTACATAATTGATCATTGGTTCACATATCAAACCTGGACAGATACTTAAAAACTGATCAGACTGCACTAGCTCATTATTTGCATTTATTAGTGCAAATAATGATAAAAGTCCATTTAAAATCACTTAATTCCATATACTGTACAGTCCTTCAAAATAAAAGGTTGAAATGTTATCAATTATCCAACACAATTTCCTCTTTTACTTTTAAATTCAATTATTGCATAATGTTGCTTTAATACATGGTGATTGGCAATATGTAACTCTGGTAATTGTGATTCTTAGAAAAATTTGACATCTTAAGTAATCAAATGCCAAAATATTTAGGCATGTTATTCCTGGGTGTCATGACTTTTAGGCACTAACAGAACGTGATAAATTAAGCCTGAGATGCCATCAATTCTAGGACATCCTTTATATAAAACAATTACTGCTATTTACCATTGCTAGCCATTTTCCTTGAATTGACTACAGGAAATAGACTCCACAGGGAGTTGATAGAACTAATTACCCTTAGATCAGAAAATCATACAATTTGTTTTCTCAAAGATGGATTCCCTGAAATTCTACAGATGATTTTCAGAAATAAAGGGGTAAACGGGTTATCAAAAGGCTAATTTTTATCCTGAGTAGCAGACCAAAACAATTATGTTGTATTAATAATTTGTATACAAAATTTTAATTCCCTATTGTGTCAACCAAATAGTGACCCGTAACAGATTTTTCAGATGATTGGATTCCTAGCAGGATATTGATTATTTTCCTATCTTCTTATTACAGTAATGAAGAGTTCATTTCAGCAAAAGATAACTCCAATATCAAATTTCTTAAAATAATTCATTTTAAGTTCCTCTTACACTTGAAACAATGAGTTAAAAGTGTCTTTTGTATTTTCAGGATATAAGAAAAGTTGTGGCACCATTATTAAAGAGTTTCCAAGCTGAAGTTGACAGTCTTTCAAAACGCAGCAAATCAGCTGAAGCAGCCTTTTTATCTGTATATAAAAGACTCATAGATTTACCAGGTAACTTATAAAAGATTTAAATTTTGTGGATTTCAGTTGGTTAATAATGATAGTAAATCTTTTATTTTGTATGGGTTAGAATAAGGTCCATTACACCATAGTGACATGATCCTATCTACTATTCATCTCATGGGCACAACATAGATAGAATGTAATATATGACAAAAATTGTTATTTGAATGATATACAAAAATAAAATGAAATATTGCAAACTTAAAACAATAGACCATAGCACTGGACTTTTATCAGAGTGGTCAGTTAAAGGTCATAACTATAGGAAGATTAGAAGGCATCTTTGGTTGGAAAAACCGGTATTAATCGTAGTCAGAGGCTAGGCCTTAGAGTAATATTTATTGTGGACATGCTGAATGGGATGTTGTTTATGCCAACCTAAGTTCAGTTTAGAAGTAGGTGTGGAAAGCTGAGCATACCCTGCATCATAGAAATATTTAGCTTAGTTAACCCTCTAGAAGTCCAGCTTTACGTGCAGTGAATTACGAACCAACAGAACCTAATCTTATCTTTTTAACTTGAGAAATGTCCTAGATTTGTCAAACTCTCATTGAATGCTTAATTGTATTGGTCTGATAAATGTCAATAGTTTAGATAGAAATAATTGGAGATTGTGACACACTTATTGTAAACATATAATGATCAGACTCAATTTCAACTCCAAAGTGAAAACTGGCTTTTTTACTATAGTCAATGTTTGAACATGTCAACGAAAGGAAAATGTCAAAAGTGAGAAGCAGTTGAGAAGAAGGTAGAGTTATTTGATTTGACGTAAGGTGTAGCTAGGATTTGAATTTCAAACCAAATTTCACTGAATGAATTTTAAGACCTATGAGGTCAAATAAAATTTCTTATTTATTGGTTACAAATTTCTAAAAGGGTGAAAGAGACAATTAAATTGGCATGATTATTTTTCACTGAAGTCTCAATGCATAGAATTTTCCTAATCTTGATTCCTAGAGTATATCATAGGTTAAAGGTGCGAATAGATGCTGTCTGTTGTCCAGGATTATAGATACAGTAAAAAATAATAGAAGGATATTGTGTCTGGATTGTGTCCGAACCTGTATGTCGTGTGTTCTATTTTGAACTGTATCGATAATCCTGCATCGTAGATCGTACCACACACCATACATCGTCTTTTTGCATCTTAAGAGTTAATAATTGAAATTTATTCTATTAAGGGGTGATTTTTGTTTTGAAGTATGAAATGAAAAAGTTTGCCGCGAACAACTTAAAACTTCTATCAGACTTGATGTGAAAACACAGCCTCAACCTGAAAGCCGTGTATGTATTCAGATATATGCATTGATAGAATGATTGATTGTTTAAAAACAACATTTTAACGGCATCAATCATTTATTGATCAGTATATGAAGAATAAAAGATTATCGATATTGTTAATGGAATCCCATCATATCACATGATATATAACATGATTTTACTGTGATAAGAAGAAAATAAATATTGCTGATGAAATAAGTAGCCATGTTACCTTTTGTATTTCCTTGTAGTGTGATATATCTTTTGTATTTTATCTATTGTAATGATTCATGTTAAGTTTCTGATAACTGAATTTTTCTTTACAACATTCTCAACTCTTGCAAGCTTTTGCTTATGGAATTTAACTCTGATGCAGCACTCATCTCTATAAAAAATCTATTGAAATAGGATGACAATGAGCTATCATTAATCTTACTTCCAGTAAAATCCTCCTGATATTGTGTTTTTCCAAGTGTGACTGCTGACAAGGTTCCTTAAGGCAACCAAAAACATAAACAATAGCATAGTGCAACCGTGCTATGTTACTTTACTTTTTAGTATCATTTTTATAAATTTTATCTGAATGTTTATGCAAATCTGATACAGTTGTCAGCTTGTCAATACCACACTAGTACTAGTATGTTTTCAACTAGAGACTAGACACTGTCACATCACAGACAGACAGACGGACAGACCAGACAATAATCCTTAATGCTGATACCAAGCTTGTCTGTGGTTACTTATTGCTGTGTGGAAAGAAACATTAAGGAAGGCATGAACACTAAGAAAAACTTTAAAATTAATTTCAGTGATAAAAGTAATAATACTCAATAAAATGATAATAAAATTTATCAGAGCAGAGTATGTTTACTCTATGTTTTTATGCAACCATGCTTGTGCAAATTATGTATTGGTCCTATCTGTAATGTTTTGCAAAGATATCATTGTAGGTATTGTGTATTGTGTGTATTTTGAATTGTCTTGATTGTTTAAGTGGAAGTCGTAAAATGTTCCATTGAAATGGTGCATCATAATGAAGAGATTCCTTTTAATTGGTGTTATCTATATCCAAACAGTTAGCTAACTGGTAATAGGTTGTTTCTGTCGTCTGTTGGTATTTTAAAATCTTATACTAATTGTTTAAACCTTGTTTCATGAAGTTGTTGACAAATCCAGGGCTGCATAAGTTACATAAAACACTTTTGATTTACGAAAGAAATTTGGGCTTGATCAGAGAGAATTATTTGCAAATCCAGGGCTGGAAAAGATTCAAACTTTAACGCTTTGATGTTTTGGGAAATGTAGGATAGATGAATAGAGTATTATTGGTATAAGATTGGCTGCCTGTGTAACTCTATAATCAATAGTATTGTACTATAGATATGTTATAATAGATAAACGGTCCATATGACTAGAATATATTGATTACTGACTAGTTACCCCGCACTTTATTCTTAACACCGAAATGTTATCATTTACACAGTTTATGCTGGTCTTAATCAAGCCTGTAGAATTCAAATTGAAGTATCAATTTTAACATTTTCTTATACACATATCTCAACACATATAATTGATCACGTGCTAGCACATGTGCCCCAGTTCAAAGTTGAAAGCTAAGAGCTTTCGAGTGCGCACACGGTAAGGTATATTTCATTCGAGGAAAAAATTATCAAACACAACAGATAATTTCCTTAACGCCTCGAATGAAAAAAACCTGACGTAAACTCCGCGCCCACGAGAGCTACGAGCTGAGAGGCTTGAATGAAATTTTGCTCAGCTGGGAGCTCTCGTGTGCGCTAGCCTTAACCCTTTTCCCTTTAAAGTTTTAAAAGATATGGATTTTATCTGCTGTAAGATATTAAAATGATATTAATAGATATTATGATATATAGATATAGAGACAGTGTTTTATTTACCTAAATCTTAGTAGACTAATAGTCTAACAATCTATCTTAACAAACACAGTTAGTATATTGATTAGAGTTTAAATAGAAAGATAGAATATAATCAATAACTGATTAATCTCTTTACAATACAAATAACACTTCCTCTAGATATACTTCATGGCTATATTGGTAAAGGTACGTCCCTGCTGTATAATTTGATGAACACCCAATCCAGAACTTCGTTCCATGAAATTTTCTTAAGTCATAAAAATGCTAAATATTCAGTTCAAGCCAATCTGAAACTAATGAGAAGATAAACCATTGGAAATAACTAGTGGTCACAGCCCAAAGTTTATGTTATAGTGGAAATTGAGTCAATGCTCAATAATTTCTTGGATTATTGAAGATGACAAGATGTTTAGCAGTTCTTGGTTTGCATCAAATCAATTTTAACACATGTTATTTTTCAGCAATCTTGTTCACAACACAACCTAGTTCAATGCAAATTTGCAGACATTTGTGGTATCTTACATGTATAGCTAGGTCAGAAAGACTAGTGAGCTTGAAGTGAAATGGTTTAATTATTTCAAATTATTAATATCATTTATTTAAATTGAATTAAAAATGAAATTAGAATCAGTGAAGTAGAGCAATGATTGACTTTCTATTTCACTTTTAAATGATTTTGCATAATTATATTGATTTCATCATTAGATATTATGAGCTCGAAATTAATAGTACTTTTATATAACCAACCTTTCAAAGATATCCAAGAATTATTTTAATACTATTTATTTAAATCTGTGTTTCCAGCTCTTAAGTTGAAAGTCCTAGCACATTTTTGGTGGACACATTCCATGTTCAAAATTCCAGCTTTCATGGAAAAAAGGAAAAATATTCTTTGTCTACTGAAATACAGATATTATTATTTGCAAATGATATTTGGAATTGATGTTCATATAGGTGAACATCTGATTGAAATATAGCTCAAAATATCACACAGGACAAAGGAACTACACTGTGCACAGAAATAAATTGTATTTCTGGCAAAAACAGGAATTCTATAATTGTCTTGAAATAGCAGTATTTATTACCATACTGGTATTTATAAATTAGCACGGGATTGGTGATGATCACAAACTTTCAAGGCTGGTTCTAGTCAACTATAACAGTTTAAGAAAAGCTGTGACCTATTGTAAACACATCAATATAGGATTGTCATTTCCTGAAACTTATTTTGAAAAATCAAGTAGTTTTGTAATGAGAGTACCAGTATTTGTATATGATACAGTTGTGAATTGCATCCATATCATACATAACTGGTTAATCTTAACAAGGGTGATAGTCCAGATCAATAAAATAATGACATATTAGTTACATTAAACTGCTATCTTCATATCATAAATACTTATTAATACTCTACAAGGTTGGCATAATATTAGTTTTTCTCCAATTCTATCCTCCCATCAGCAACCCAATATTTTATACAGTTATAGATTATTATTATGATTCATGTCTAAATATTGGATTTGGAGCCAACAGATGTTTGAAGGCTATAGTTAATGAATCAATATCGACCATGACTTCGATTAGTACAAAGATATCTGCACAGATTTTTTTTTTTATTCTCAGGCTCCCCGTATTGATGCTTAGAATTCAGAAATCAATAGCCCAATATTTTTATTATCACAGAAAGTTGAGTGAAATAATTGATTGTGAACAGCCTCCATTTTGATAAAATTTTTCACAATATATAAAAGTTCTGATGAATAATCAATAAGTTGTAGCTTTGTATATAAGTTCGATTGTGGACTATAATATATATTAGTGTATAGAAGTCGTGATCACAATCAGATCTTTGAAGGCGACATTTGAACATCTCTTGAATTCAACTAGAGAACAGTGTTCAATATCATTGATTGACTGAATTGAATTTATATTGATGGTTGTCAGTGATCAAAATCTTAATACATCTTATTTGAATGTCTCTGTAGAGGTGAAAAAGGATCATCTTCTGGAAGTTTTAAATACTGTTGTGATCATCAAGTCTCTTTTCATATGGAGTCGTATGCAGACGTTAATTTCAGTTGACATTTTTAAACTGATTTGTATTATATCCTTGTAATGTTGAACTTGTCTTTTGCTGTGTTTGAAGATTAATTGATGAATACTATCAGACATAATGGTTGCTGAGTTTTGTATTCGCTAATGAAATAAATAATCTTGATCTTTAAAAATACTTCAAAATGCTTTTTTTTTTATCTTTTGCAGACCCAGTAAGTGCTTTAGAGCATGCTTTGCAAATCCAAAAGAAGGCACATCGAGTACAAGACTTAGAAATCGAAAACAAACAACTTCGAGAAACATTAGATGAATATAACCACGAGTTTGCAGAAGTGAAAAATCAAGGTAGGTGTCATTATTTTCTTGGTTTTGTAATGAAATCAGGTCTTGCAGTGAGTTCCAGAGATGATTTGTGGGCTGAGATTCCAAGACAACGATGAATGGAACAGAAAACACTTTTTAGACTCCTCATTTTAAGATACTCTGTGAAATTTAGAAAAGACATGTATAGAAATAGTGGGTAAAATTTTACGATTTTATTAGATTTCTAGTACTTCGCAGATGTCCCTTTTAACTAGAACAGAATTCAGGATCTCCATGTGTCCTATGGCTTATGAAGCTGAGCTAAGATGAGTTATTAGCTTGAGTTTAGTTTTCAGAAGTATGGCTAGGATATTTAAAAATCATTTACCCTTTTACAAAAAATAAAACAAAATTTCAATTGAAAATTTGATATTTGATATTGACCTGCTACATGATGAAAAGGAATAGTCTATCTTATAGTTCCAGGAGACATAACCAATAACACCACATAGACCTACAGTAATTAGAAAAACATGTGTTATTACTTTACCCCCTCCACAATACACTGGTTGTTCTTGTCAGTATTGAAATGTTAATTTCTTTAAATTGAACCTCAAATTGACTACTTCCTATATCTAATTATTTATTGTCTCTTTCATCTATGTGTCCAGAATTTCTAATATTTCTCTTTATATTTTGATGTTTCCATACCCAACCTGATCTGAAATATTTCAATAAGTCATATTTCTGAAAATCAAATTTGACCATTATCAATATTAAGAATGATAATATCATATACACCATATTCATTTCTGATTTTTGGCATTTTCTGTAAATCATTGATTCAGCCTTGACATTCTTCTGAAAAAAAACCATGTAGAATTTCTGTGTAATGTTCAAATATGAGATCTGAAAGATGTGTAGAAAAGAGGTTAATAAAATTAGGATATAGGTCTCGAGACATAGAAGATATATATAATATAATAAACAGTATTGAGTTGCCAGATTTTTTAGCGAATGTTGGGAGTCATTACATCCGATTATTTTGACATTTGATGAGTATCAGATATAAGTTACGTTTTTTTTCTCCATTCGATTCTCTAGTTAGATGTAAACAGATGCAGAAATCATTTCTGCGTGATCAATCTTTTCATCTTTCTTGTCGTCTGTATGTCTTACATTTTCTGCACAAATGCACTTCTGCTATATTTTTTGTGTCAAGATGATAATCTTTACTCTTATATTCAATATATTATTTCTCTTTGTGTATTTAACATATCTTATTCAATATGGCGTCTCTTGTAACAGTTCTTCACCAAATTTTTTCCAGTGTTATTTGAGCTTTATGATGAAAAGTGAATCTTGTATATGTTCATAACGCGTCTGATCAACTTCATGTTTTCATATTTCTGTAATTCAATCAGAAGAATAAATATTATTTCATGAAAAATTTATTTTGAAATTATTTTATGTTTTTCTTTGAGGAGTTTCAATGTCTGATATATTGTTTCTTATGAAATAGTTTTGGCTCGGTTGATATCTATTGATATATGATTTTCAATGATTCTGCAGTTCAAGACATCAGTATGCAAAGACTTCAAATCCTGAAAATCGGTCATGAATTCTGATTTTTGATAATTGGAACCTCATATAAATTAAACCATTAAAAATTGTGTCATTGTGAGAAAGTCCAGATTATGTTTTTTGTTTGGTATAAAAGGATAATAATTGATTTAGTTAGTTTTAAGTAAAAGAAATCATTGAAATAAACTTATTGAATTGCCAATCAAAATTTTAATATATTGACACTATATATAAATATTGGCATTAACTTGAAGCAGATCTGGTTTATGAATCACACAAGAAATCATTCAGGCTAACAAATTAGACGTTTTATTAACTTTTTGAACAGATAAGGAAATAGAACACATATGTTTGACTGAAAAACAATTTTCTATGATTCCTGTCTTTAAAGAGAGTATATTATGGTTGAAGTGGCATGAGAAATTGGTATCTTATGTGGTGATGCTATTATGTATTTTATTTAAAAACTTGAGGGCAAACTGCAAATGTTTAATACATATCAGCAAATTACTAAATCAAAATCATATTGGTTCTTACTAAAAATCTACACAAGCAAGACAATTCTATATCAAAATCTTGTCCAAATCATGGCAAATTCATGAATAACGGTATGAAATGGAAATTTGGAATAAATGCTGCTTTAAAAATGAAGACCACAGAATTGCCAATGGCATTCCAGGAAAGTGAAATATGTTATGATTTGTGGAATGTGATATTATATAAAGGATATATTGGTTTGACCAGGGGGAAATGAGAATTAGGTCAGAATTTGGTATTGTTTATAAGACAATATTTCTTTAAAATTCTTCCAGCTATTGAACCCCATATGTAGGTAATTGTGTGTTAGGTTTTTTGTTGAAAGAAGGAAGTAAAGAAACATGAATTATACAGGACAGTGAAATATAGATCAGTTACAGAAACAATAGGTCTATAAAGGTCATTCCTTCAGAAATATATAGAACTAGACATACTAGTTAGTTTGTGTCATTCGTTATGATTGAGAGATATTAAACTTGGAAACAAAACAAACAGCAAATATTGAGACATCTTTGGCTTCTCAGCATTTTATGAAAACGGTAAAATTAATTTTTAGGTGGCCTTATATATGATGGTTTCCTTTTATAACCTATGTGGAAGTTGACATGCCTGTTTGAAATCTAAAACAAATCTGTTTGAACAAAAAAAAAATTGGTCATGGATGCTTTACTGTAATAAGGTTATCTTATACCCAAATTTAACAAGCAACCCCTTTTGTCAAATAACATTAGCAATCAATTCCAGATAATTTCATGTATTGTAATTTTATTTCAAAGAAATATGTAGACCGTGTCAAATCAAGTTAGGATCTGCAGAGTTCATCAATATTAATATTCTATTTATTAATATATGATTGGCTAATCTAACAAGTCTAAATAATACCACCATGCTACCATCAACCTCCATTATATTATGAGGTCATCTCCACGTCTGCCATCTTTGATCTTGTATCTTTAATTACCAAACTCTGATAAATAACCTATATCGAGTAATTAAACACAAGTACTGCCATTTTATCTTAATGTGTTTATCGCTCTAAGAACCAATAACTCAGTCCAAAAAAATAGCTTGAACTCTTCTCAAGATAATGAATCCATTATTTTCAATTTTATGTGAATTCCAACTTATCTTCAAGTTTCCTGTCGTGTGTTATTAAAAGGAAATACCAATTTGAACATTGATGATATTGGTTGATATATGATATACTTGCAGTATGCAACTTGCAATATTGTATATAATAATAGCTAATAACAGTGGGTATATGTGGTTATTATTTTGCCTCTAGTGCTGTGAGATTCTTTTTTTATCATCAGGAAATATCTATTGGCTAATTATGTTCTATTATTTTGCTAAGAAGTACTGTAGGTCTTATAAACAAGAGTCACAGATATAAACTGATTGCTTTCTTGTACTCATAATAAACATGTATGCTTCCTAATTGGTTGCATTTTTGCCAATTTGATTGATGGAACTATTCTGTAAGTGTGTTCTTCAATTGAGGAGTTCAGAACAGAAGAAATGAAAATCACAAAATATATATAATATATCATCAACCAATTTGTGCGCAAATTAGTTCATTATATTTCAACTACAATTCTGTTTCAATTCACAAAATGTTACTGTTTTGTAAATCATTTAGTTTAAGTTACTTAAAACAACTCTCTTAAAATGTAGCAAACCCAAAAAGAAACTGTAGAGTTAAAAAAATAGAGCTAATAACTAATGTAGCATTTTAACTACAAAGTTTTGGTCTGTGATTTGAATATTATATTTTAATTTGAAATAATTTACGAAATGAATTTGTCCTAATTAAAAAATATTTCAAAAAGTGAGTTAGATCTAATTATTGATGATTTCTACCTCAATGATATATGATCAGCAAGTTTCCAATCATTGCCACCCAACCTGTTACGTATATTATTAAATGGATAAAATGAATTATTGACTTATTTTATTGAATTTCAAAGCAGTTTTCAACTTTCCATAAACCTGTTTAAAAGTTCTGTTACATTTCATATTGATTTGTTCAATATCGACTTAGTATCATATTTGCTAGTTGTTGATTACTACAAACAGATTTTATTGTCAAAAATTCATATTTTTCTGATTTCAATATTATGATGATATTGATTTTTCTTTAATTTGAAGATTTGTAAGTATTATGTTTTTTGATTATTTAAACTTTTCAAAAAGAGATTTTATGACAGCTTCAAAATGTGTGACAGATTTTTCAGACCTTATGTGATTGAAAAAAGGTTAAAGGTTTGAATTTTACACTCATTGAATGCCAGTGATTTTTATTGAAATATAAATTTTAAAATCTTGCATAAAAATTTTTATTGTTGGCATTAAAATATTGAGATAACTTGAAACGGATTAAAAAATCTGATTTTATTGATCAGCAGAGATCATTTTTTATAAAGTGTTTTGGTCATTTGATTAATGATACACTAAAGATTTTGAAGTTGCTAGTAATGTTATGACATGAGGTTTTTCTTATTTCCAAAACAGCATCAATCTGAAATCTTTAATGATAAACTGAAGGTGTTTGAAAGAGTTAATTATAAAGCGGTCTTAACTTCATTAAAATGAAACCTTTAATTTGCTTTCACAGCAAACCTTCCTTTTATAAGTTGCTTAAAGAAATCTATTTTTTTTATACAATTTTTACTATTCTTCATTAAGCCTTCTTTAGATTGAGTCAAATCTTAGTATCTATGTCCAAAAAATATTTCCTTTTATTACTTTAGCAAATATTTGAAGTTTATTCAATTCTCTTTTTTGAATCAAAATTCTTCTCCTTTAGGGCATTAAAGTTGTTTGATTTTTATTTGGTTAGTGTTTCTAAAGATTTCCTTTACAATCAATACTTCAAAAATAACGAATCCAAAAAAATGCATAATTCAACAATTTATAAAAGGAATCGATTTGAAAAATTTTGTGGCCACTTGAATAGAAAGTGATGAAGAATAACCGCCTTAGATAAGCAATCTTCTATCGAGTCTTTGTTGTGGAT